AGGGGTTCGAAGGCACGAGGGCGTTTGCGAGGTTCATCCCCGGAGGGACACCACCGATGGGTCAACAGCGTCCTCTCCTCCCCTGGGGTGTTTTAAGGGCTGTGGAGGCACCCAGGGACAGATTGTCCTTGCCCTCTAGCTAGGAGGTAGACGTCAACCAGACGGGATGGACCGGGAGCCCCAAGGAGATGGGGTTAGCTCGGATTGTCCTTCATTATCTCGTGCTCTCTGCCTCTGACCCAAGGCTAGCTGAGGCGTTTGGAGAAGGGCACTGGGCGAGCTCCTTGCAGAAGGGATGTTTTGGAGGGAGCTGGAGGTGGTGAGGGTGGGACCTTCCGTGCTGAGGTTGGGAACAGACCTGCTTCGGGGAGAGAGAAGAGGTCTGCACAGGCTGGCAGGGTGGAAGCATCTCCTAGCATGGCAGCACGGACCCCTCCAGCTCCGCCAGGGAGCTGATGGCTCCAGGGTCTCTGGGGAAGGGACCAGGGCAAGATCTGCCACCCAGGAGGTGGAAAAATTGCAAGCAGTGGGCCAAGGCCACCATGGTGGCATAAGGGGAAAGCAAAGGCTTCGCATGGCTGCAGATAAGATATGGGTCCCACCTCTCCACCCACCAACTGCTCACGGGCCTACGGACATGCCAGGTTTGGTGGGTCCCCGGGCAGGACCCCCCACCCCGGGTGGGATGTTGGTCTGGGTATTGCCGCATGATTGGAGGGGAAGGGGGCCCCCCTCTTTGGTGGTGTCCCCAGGGGGTAATGCCACCCCAAGAACCATGCAGGGTGCCCAGGTGTCCTGTGACACCCTCCTGCACCGGTGTCCCAGCACATCCCCCCTTCCTCCTCGCCAGGCTCTCACCTTCTCCTGCAAGCGCTCCAGCATGGCCGCTAAATGGGCCTCACGGTTCTCCTTGTTGGACTCCATCTTCTGTGCCAGCTTCTCTTTGGCCATTTTGATGAAGTTGTTGTTCTCCTCAATGGCCTTCTGGATGACCTCCCGCTCGTGCTCCCGCTTCTCTGCCAGATGCTTCAGCAGCTCAGCCTCCTGGTACTGTGTAGGCAAAGTGGACACGATGGCGATGTGGACGCTTGGGTCCGTTTCCTTCCTGGCCAAAACTGCCCCCTCCAAACTCAGCGACGTCCCCAAAGGTGAGCGCGCCTCGTTGAGCACCCCAAGTGCAAGGTTGTGTGTCCCCATGGCACGTCCCCATGCTGCAGTGCCATGCATGAGCTGTTGGACCTACCTTTCTCCTCTCCTCCGCTGCTTCCAGCTTCTTCTGGATCTCCTCCAGGGAGGGGTCGCGCCGCCGGGGCAGGGAGGCGTTGAACTCGGGGATGCCATCGAATGACGGGGGCTTCAGGATGACCTCGAAGGACTGCCCCGAGGTCCGCTTGTTGAGCTCGATGACTTCCATATCAGAGATGACGCACCAGGTGAGGTCCACCGTGTCTGCTGGGAGAGGGGCACAGGCTGACTGCTGGCACGGGTGCATCCCACCCCTTTGGGTAAACCATCCCAGGGTCGCACACCTGCAGCTCACCCACACGCCATCACCTTCCTCGATGTCCACTGGTTTCACCCAAATCCCTGCACCCCCAATGCACCTCTGCATGGACGCAACGTCATGGGTTGGAGTAGGGACTCCAAGACCCCCATCAAGGGGGTTGAGTTGGGAATATTCAGGCGAGCTAAGGGGCTGGACATCCCCCCCAAGGGATGGGTGAGCAAGCAGGGCAACATTCAGCCCTGCTTCAGGGAATGGGACCATGAAGCCCCTTTCTGGCTGCAGACACCCCCTCCCCAGCTAGCCAGGAGGAGCCCCCCAAGGCTGGGCATCCCCCTCCGCTGCCACTGTCACCTCTGGACCCACTGACATGAATGACTCTGAATCACCAGGCATCGTCTGCCTAAAAATACCGAGCCCACACCCAAAGCTTCGTGCAGCGGAGCCACGGCAGAGGGGGGCTGTGGGGCTGCCTGAGCTCTCCCCCCCCCAGCCCCAACCCAGCCCCCTGCTTCCAGCTGGTGCCAGCAAACCATGGAGACACCTCTCTCGGTTTGAGGGTGACCCCAATGTTGCTAAGGGGGTCTATGGCCCCCCACACCTCCCACCGTTGAAGCGCCCCTCGGTTGTGGGTGGGCAGCAAGCTCCTACCTTCATACGTGTACGCCGGCTTGTTCAGGGGGTCCGAGAGGAAGCAGGAGCAAAAGAGGGAGACGAGAGGCAGCTCCTTCATCTTCTCTTTGTAAGCTGGGAAGACACAGTGGGGTTGGGATCAGAGGGGTGGGGGGTTCTGCCAGGCATCCTGGGTGAGGGCTGCCACGCGCCAGGGAAGGGCTGGCACCAAATTTTGCCCAGATATTGCAAATGGGGTGATGTGGGTGGGGGGGAAGCAAGGTGTGCAAAGGGGAAACTGAGGCAAGCAGAGGCGGGGTGCTTTACTCATGCCCACATGGGTTATGTCTGTCCTGGGGTGTTAACCCCATGCACAACCCCTTGCCTGTCACCACTGGGATGCTGCGGGCAGCCCGGGGCAGAGCCATCCCCAGGGCAGTATGGATGGGGTCGCCCCTCAAACCAGGGGTGTCCCAGCACAGGGTGGGTACCAGGGTTGGGTTCATGGGGTTGGGTGACCCGTGCTGTCCCCTGTCCCCACGCACGTCCCCGTGATGTTGCCGTACCAGCCAGAGTCATGGCGTGACGATCCTTGGACGTCTGCAGCAAGAGCGTTCCTGGGGCCTGGGGGAGGAAAGAACCAGGATCAGTGCGGGGTGTCCTGGGGCTGGGGGCATCGCCCGGCCCTGCCT